AATGGCTTCACACATGGTACCCATGTAGGGATTTGAACCGGGTCTTGATGACGAGCCAGCGCTTTAACCACTAGGCTACCCCACCGCCCACGACAAGCATGGGTTTGCTGAAGACCAGTTCTAACCCGTGAAGTACATGTACCAGCACAGTCTGATTTCAGTCAGTACATAATCATGATGCAGGGATAGAAATGCACTTTTTTCTCGGGCACAGATAATTTAGGGGTTCCTTCATGAAAATTAGTGTCCCTTTTCAAGATCCAAGCATGAAACATCACAACAATTATTTTATTTCAATACATTATTTTAGAAACATCATGTACACCTGGGTGGGGTAGCCTAGTGGTTAATGCGTTCGCTCATCACGCCGAAGATAAGGGTTCGATTCTCCGTATGGGTACAATGTGTGAAGCCCATTTCTGGTGTCCCCCGCTGTGATATTTCTGGAATATTGTTAAAGCGGCGTAAAACTTAACTCGCTCACTCATTCATGTAAACCTGTAAACTTGAGAGCAGGATTTCCTGAACACTAGTACTATTACAACCGCAAGAATAGTTTAGCTTCATATCTCCTGGGTGCCGTTGTACAAAGCGATCTTAGAGCTAAGAGCATACTTTAACATAGACCTTAGCGCTAAGGTTGTTTTGTACAACGGCACCCTGGACCCATAAACCAGCCCACAAACTATGTAACCATCCAAAACCAGATTTCCTGTCACTGGCACTGTTATTCGAAATGAGTGAGTTTAGTTTTACGCCGCACTCAGCGATATTCCAGCTATATGACGGCGGTCTGTAAATAATCAAGTCTGGACCAGACAATCCAGTGATCAACAGTTATTCAAAATGACTACTCACATATTTAGAGATGTGAGATTGAGTGTGCAAAAATTCTTCAATAATTTGACTGGGTCAGATTCATTGCATTTTCCATTAAATGAATCATGGTGAGTATTATTTGTATAATCTTAAGCAGGCTGCCAGGACACTGTGAAAATGTTTCACCCGTGCCATTGCAATATTTACTGTGCCATGACATACAAATAAAGCACTATTTCGATCACTGTGTGTGGGGCGGTGGGGTAGCATAGTGGTTAATGCGTTCGCTCGTCGCGCCAATGACCCGGGTTCGATTCCCCACACAGGTACAATTTGTTATAGGCAGACACTTTTATAACATTAGTTTTTATGAAATTGACGGAAGCGAGATTTTTTTCATAATTGGCCCGATTGGTTCATTACAACGAATCAATCATCAAAATAATCGGGTGGCATCATTATCAAACTTTCCTGTAATGTTTAATGCACACAAATTAAATAAAGAAAAACATGTAGTTAGAGGTGGGGTGGGGTGGGGTGGGTTTTTTGGGGTTTGGTTGGTTGGTTGTTGCAAATTTCCACATCTTTAAAGGATGACTATTTATATGTTAGGAACATAAATTTCCTGGAGTCTTTAAGATAGCTTCAATCATGACTCAGTATGAGCTTGTAGTGCTTATGAAATGAATCACTGCGACCAATCGTCGATTATTTCAATTAATCCGACCACCTCTATAGCCAGCCCTACACAAAACACATAAGAAATAGTCCTCGATCAGCTGTTACAAGCATGGATGGGATAGTGGAGCCATATTTTGACACACTGACTGAGATTGTGGTGCCCTAATAAGATGATCAGCAGGTGCTTGTTCCATGCCTGTATTTCGGGGCTGTGACGTGTGATAAGACAATGTGTGATAAGACAGGACAGGGGGTCACTACAACAACTTCACTACAATGGCAGGAAGGTTGGCCAAACCCTTTATAGTCATGTTGCACTGAGCGGAGAAGTTTTCTGTCACTTTCAGCAACGCTCCTGCAGTGTCACAATATGGGACTCCCGAAATGGGCAGGGCTCCAAATAATTTTTTTTTCAACATCAGAGATGCATTACTCCTTATTCTTTCAATATAGGAGTACTGGAAACCTTAAGTGTACATTTAGAGTACTGAATGGAAGCTAATGGACTAGCAGTAATCTTGTGTTAGATTTCATATATGCACCACAACATTGCTACTCTTGTGTAAACAGGTCAATAAACAATAAAACAATACTTTTTTCAGATAAATCGTCTGTAAATGATTCTAAGACCATTACACCATTGCTGTGAATGCGTATCTGCTACATTTTTCTAAATTATTTCCTACCCATTATCGTGCATATTTTTTTATCCATTACATACGCCCGATATGGCCCTATCTGGAGCCCTGATGGGCTTTACACATAATGCCGATGTGCTTGAGGAATTGAACATAATGTCTTCAAGCGTGATGGCGAACACTACAGCCCATGGTGAATGTTGGGTTAAAACAATACAAACTGTCAGAATACAACATGTAACAGAGGTCAAATACTTTACACTAACAAGAATATCCTTTCGCTTGTCATTAAGAACAAGAAAATTCTCTGGGTTATCACTAAAAACAAAAACAACCCATAGCTAGTCACGAAGGACAAGAACATCCCTTGGCTAATATCACAAAGAACAACAACATCCCATGGTTTATCACTAAAAAAAAGAACAGCGCTTGGCTTGTCACCAAGAACATCCTGTGGCTTGTCACTATATCACTTTACTCTTGAAGGTCCGGGTTAGAATATTGATCTTCAGCAACCCATGCTTGTCGCAAGAGGTGACTAACGGGATCGGGTGGTCAGGCTCGCTGACTTGGTTGACACATGTCATCGGTTCCCAATTGCGCAGATCGATGCTCATGCTGTTAATCACTGGATTGTCTGGTCCAGACTCAATTATTTACAAACAGCCACCATATAGCTGGAATTTCATAAAAAAACGAATGTTATAAAAGTGTCTGCCTATAACACATTGTACCTGTGTGGGGAATCGAACCCGGGTCATTGGCGTGACGAGCGAACGCATTAACCACTATGCTACCCCACCATACTACTATTGCTGAGTGCGGCGTTAAACTAAACTCACTGACTATATCACTTAGAACCACAACTCTTATCAATCCCTTTTCATCCATTCACGACCCATCAGTGAAAATAAATCGATGAAACTTATGAGATGTTCCCTTCTTCCCCTCAGTAAACATACCCTCAGAAGAACCAGGCTAAGTTCACAACACTTTTGTCAGCACAGGTTTGTCAGGTTATGTTAATCATGAGAAGGTATTACACAGTGTTTTATATATTTACATTTAGGAGCCAGTCGGTACAACTCTGAAAATGTTCCGGACTGGCTTTCACGTTCATATTTCCACAAATAAATAGTTAACTTGAATGTCGTGGGATTGTTGTGACGGTCACTTTCAAACTTAACAAATGAGCGAGTGAGTATGGTTTTACACCACTTTTAGCAATATTCCAGCAATATTGCGGCGAGGGACACCAGAAATGGGCTTCACACATTGTATCCATGTGGGGAATCGAACCCGGGTCTTCAGCGTGACGAGCCAACACTTTAACAACTGGGTTACCCCACCGCCTTACTTAATAAAAGCATGTGTGATAAATGCATGTGCCATATCAGACAGTCAATCTCACATGGGGTTAAAAACCTTATTAAGGTAGCACATGAGCTGAAAATAGTGGGCCAGGAAAGTGAAATTCACAGGTCCTTCAACTACAGTCAAAATCCTTTCACTCCAATCACAATCAGAGCCATTATATTTTCAGTTCATGTACATCCTGGAATAATGCTGACAAGGCAATAAACGGTCTAGCAAACATTTTCTACAAAAAGAATATTGAACATTTCTCATGAATGATTCCTTTGTCAACAGTATTGGTGCTCGTCTTCAACAAGCATGTTTTGTTGTTACCCAACCTGATTCAGCAATACCTTTGACCTTCTCGCTGGTACATACCGGTACACATGACCTAGTTTACAGAGCTAAAAGTTACCATGACCGTGAATGACCTAATTCTAGAATTCATGTATATCATTCTTGTGTATATACTTCTTGATATTTTTTTTGGCTGTCATTAAATTCCCCAAATACTTATTTGTCAGTATTATACATAAAGGTCATTTTGCAATACAAAAGCAAATAAATGCAGTGTAATAAAAGTACATGCTCAAAGAAGATGCTATATTACGTAGGTGTCAGATGGTTGCATTCAAGTGCATTCTCCATGCGTCTACTATTATTGAATGTTATCATGACAACTTTGAAACCTTTCGGCTGCTATTATATAAAATGAAATAAAAACATCATTTCGGCCCAGATTTTTAAAGTCAAAATTCTCATTTATACACAGGCTATCAGGGGTGGAAATAACTTTAAAATTGCTAGTGTACTCCGGTACAGTGGCACATGTAAAATCACTTGCCCTGATAAGTTTTCCACTATACCGTCCGTTTTCTTCTTGATTTTTTAAATAAACAACATTATTAACATTGGAAAGTCACTTGGACACCGGTACAGCATGATATACAAATTTGCTTGCCCGACAGAAAAAAACACTGGACTCGGACGTCGGGCAATGGGTTATTTCCACACCTGGCTATTACTTTGCTGATTCTGTTAATAGAGAAAGACAAAACACCAAATATAAAATATCACTGAATATTGCCACCATAAATCACAATAATTATTTTTTGGTAGCACATTTACTGTTATAGCTGATTATCTGTCACTGAACACTGAATGTTCAACACGTTGATCGATGCCTGATCAAACAAACATCAGTTCTTGATCAAAATATTTCAGCACAATTTTCCAGAATCATCTTAATATTTACATTGATGTACTCTTATAAGCTGACTTTAACCCCAATAAGGCAAAATATATCAGTTATAACATTTTCATCAAAATCCAAAAAATGTTGCATGCGTTTACAAATATTTCATGTTTTCTTCAACATATTTTTTTTTCAAGGAATCTTGCACATTAAACATGCTTTTTATGCAATGCAGCAAAAATATTTTGCATTATAAGGACGCATGCGATAATATTCATTCTACGTGAAGTCTTGATGAAATATATATAGAGTTCTTGTAACTAAAGTATTCATGTCATTTCTTCTGGATCACTAGCTCTTTGTAGGTCAGTATATAATGTATGTGTCTTCCAATATCATTCATGCAAAATCTTGAACACTTGAGTAAGACCAGGGTTTGACGTTGATTTTACTAAAGTGTGTGTGTGTATTATTGGGGCAGGGACCACCGTCAATAAACTGCTGGTATTATGAGGGTCCTGTAAAGTATTGAAATGTATGTTCAGATAGTTACTTCCAGAGCCTCTACTGAATCAGTGGTCATGTGGACAGGTCATGACTGATGGGTGAAATTACAGACCCAGATAACTACTCTTGATGGGCTATCAGTTCGATCTCGGTATTTTGTGCGTTCTCCAAAGGCAATATTTGAGGTTTTTCTGCATCCATTCTCTACATTTTTGTGTACTGAACACACTATTTGTGTGGATGAATAAACCCTGTAGGATTTGAATTTGTTTATTCTCTACAACCTTGGAATCGTTTTGTGTGAAATCAGAGCTCCAGATAAGATTTAGCTCATGTGGGTACTGTACCCAATGTATTTTTTTGGTGTGGGTATTATGAATGTTGAGTGGGTATTTCATTTTCCGTAACCCACTGCTTTCAAATATGTGCGTATTTCAGTCATTTTACTCAAGTACTATGTCATTGAGTAAGTTTACTAAGCAGGTATGTTCTGCCTTATGTCATACCTAATCAAAACCAACTTTAATATAATGGAAATGATTACATAAAAAATCACTCATCCTATACTGACAGTACAACACTTGTCTTATACTAACAGTACAACTTGATAGCAATCGATGTCTTTTCCATTACGCAAGCGATGTTTATAAATATATTCCGTACGCATTTGTTTTAAACTTTTGCGTATCTAACATTTTAAATCTCGCGTGGTCGGTAATGCGCAACAATTATTTTCAATCGCGAATTGGATATTTTCTATGCATATTTTACCCGGATACCAAGCTTATCTGGGCCTCTACATAAACTACATACTTAATTCATCAACTAGTACGTAACTGGCATTAACTCAGCAAGACATAAGTGTAATGAATCTGAAATAAAAATTTATTAACATACAAGTGTTTATTAACAATCACATCTTGATACATGGCAGAAACAGATCTAGGCGCCTGTCGAACAAGGTCCTTGATATGAGTCAAGAACCTGTCAACAGAAAGTCTGTTTGGATCGACCTCATGGTTATGAATGTTGTTAGTGACTTAGTGGTGAGTCCTTCATTCATATTCAGTGTCACTCGGCAGTTGTCACATCATCTCCAGTACACACTATTATTCTTTCGGTTCTTAACCCTAAACTTATAGTTGTCATAAATCAAATTTTGTCCACCCTGTGCATTATCAATGTACTGAACGTCAACTTGAGCATTAGCCATGATGATGAATGATGTAGTGGGGGTTCATTAATATATATATATACATGACTGGGACATTTGTTAGTGTTCACCAAGTTGTTCTGAAATGTGCTCCCCAATTTGTTCAGACTTGTGGTCACGGCGTCACCAGACTTACCTTGAAACAGACTATAACTAATCCCCCTTATTGTTCTAGGGGTGACTACATTTTGTTGTTTTAAGAAAAGTGGGTACAGTGGGGGTACACCATTTGTGTGTTTCTCCAAAGGCAGTGTGTACTGAACGCACATTTGTGTGATGAGTAAAACCCTGTAGGACTGAATATTTTTTATATAAACCTGGGATCGTTTTGTGTGAAATCAAGAGACATTCCCCATAGGGGCAGAAAGATCATGTGTATTGACTTTTCATATATACACATTACACATGTACATTTATCGATTTTCTTAGTGATGATCAGTCAGTCTTTACAGTGCTTCATTGTTGATAAAAATATGAGTGAGTGAGTTTAGGTTTACGCCACTTTTAGCAATATTCAGTGATATCACAGTAGGGGACGCCAAAATGGGCTTCACACATTGTACCCATGCGAGGGTAATCGAACCCAGGCCTCGGCATGACAAGCAAAGCGCTTTTCACTAATATGTTACCCCACCGCCCGAGAATATTATGAAGTCATGACATCCTTTTTATGACATCACACACTGATTACATCATCTTAACAACAGGCAGCCTTCAATTAAATTTTAGTGGAAGGATGAAATTTTTTCATCACTCTTTTCGCACCTGTGAGGTAATCTCATAAAAAGCGGATTATCTAGGATTATTGTGACTGAATGTGGTAATTCTCTTGACAAAAGCTCAGGATTTACACCATTGAGTCACTCAGGTTATATAATGCGTAATTCCCTGAACCTTGTTGGTTAATGTCTATGTATGTTTTAGGTGATATCACAATGAAAGAGTATCACAATCCTTTGTATACCATTGTGACATCATCATATATATATATATATATATACTTGACAATTACATGACATCACTAAACTAACTGTTGCTTAAAGCTGGTCAACTTTCAGCTCACAGAAGTGTATAAAATGAAAAAGTTAGAGCAATGTATTTTTTCTAAATATACCTCAGTGCTTTGGATAGGTAGCATCATGGGGCGCCATGGGTTAGGAGCAGAGGTTGTGAGACTGAGTGTGTGGTGTGTGTGTGTGTGTGTGTGCATGTGTGTGTGTGTGTGTGGAGGGGATGTTATGTGAAAGACTTGCGAAAATGGGGAAGCAAAATGTATCTCATTGCTTTACTTTTTCTGCTTTTAAATGACAATGTAATGAATATATGTTTTGAAATAAAACTCATTCAGTATGTACTTAAAATGTTTATTAATGCAAACATTCACTATATCACTGGAATAATGCCGATGTGACGCAAAACCCAACCCAACTCAACTTTATCAGGGTGGGGACAGGGGGTGCAGCAAGTGTTGATTATAGTTTTATCAAACCTGAACAGGTTAAAATTTTAAACATTTATTGAATGGTCATTTTACTAGTGAGGGTGAGGGGTAGGGGCTTTGGGGAGAATGTCACATATTCAGTGTGTATGGGGTGCTGTGCCTAAACGGAACATAAATGAGGGGTGGGGAGGTGGAAGGGGAATCTTCAGCAAAATATGACATAGACCCAAGAACGACCTCCCCCCGTCCACCCCTGGGCTAAAAGTCACCCCAACCCAGTTATAAATTACCTTCCACTTGTGAAGTCGAACATTGCATAACACGGTGTTTACACTACCCGATAAACCCATTTTAACACACTCCGTTAACACAATTACACAGAATAACCTGCGCGACTTCACTGTCAACACATTTCAGATGCATATTTCAAAGTTAGTGACTGAGAAACACAACCAGCGTAGCCAGAACTGAAAAACACGATGTACCCAGTTCTGTGACATACGCACCTAGATACGGGTCAGGTAAGACAAGACTTGATCTCAACCTCACCGTCAGCAAAATTGGGTCTGCGAGAACTTTCAAAAGGCGACTTTGTTAAACATACCGGCAAAACAGTTAAGACATTTCAATGGGTAGTATTAAGCGTGATAAGAGAATACTGTGAGTTGTTTTGCAAATCACACATAAATACTTACAAATATTACCCCGCCGCAAAAAGCTTCGAAGCCGTCGCTCTCGGCCATATCTGCGAAGTTCTGACATGAAGGCAGCTCCTTGGAGAGAGTTATCCCCCTTTGTTGTTACAATGACAAGGCACATTATTCCTTTAGATCTCGGTGAGGTGACAAATTTGAAACGAATGTTCTAGACATTTTATTGCAAAAATTAAAGACTTTAGTTTCATTTGTTGTGTTGTATTGTTATTTATGGTGCTGTTGTTTTTATTGAAGTTGTGAATAAAAAATATTAGCATGACAATTTATTTATTTATTTCACCATTGATATGTCGCGTTTAAAATGGTCATGTGTATTGACCGTAGTTATTTCAAGATGTTTTACTGTATTACGTGAGACCTCACCTAGGGTATGAGGTTTTCCTGTTTATAAGTAGGACCGAATTTGAAGTTTCATTTATTCTTGGTAGGATCCGATAAATAGAGAAGACGAAGTTTCTGGAAATAATGAATAGATAGTCCGAAATCAAAGCCAGCGTACGTTTTCTTTGTGGTTGACCTAGGTCACGCTCTCGTCTAGACTGACCAGCGATCAGACAATGTGACGATAGACCACAGGGGGGAACAGCGGTATGCGGTTCACTTACAGTTACCGTTATGTTTACCGGTTTAACTTTTGGTATATTTTACGGGCGTTGCTTTAGGCTTATGTAACTCAATTTCATATGTTGTATAAAACATGATAAGAAAAAACTATATATTAATACGTTGCCTCGGTTTTTTGCTGACACAGCAAAACGCAAGGGAAGCGTTGACCTCATTAAGCAAGATAGCGTTATGTTTATAATATATATTATATACCTGAAATACTGGTAAAGGTGTTGAGCCACACTCACTCACTCAAAAGCACCGTTATCAATGTCGATGTGTTATTTGAGTGAGTTTAGTTTTACGCCGCTCTCAGCAATATTCCAGCTATATGGCGGCGGTCTGCAAATAATCGAGTCTGGACCAGACAATCCAGTGATCAACAGTATGAGCATTGATCTGCGCTATTGGAATACGATGACATGTGTCACCAAGTTAGTCGCCTCTTACGAAAAGCACGGGTTACTGAAGATGAATATTCTAACCTGGACCTTCACGGGTATGTGTTATTTGAATATTATTAAATATTACTCTTGATTTTCTAATTACTAGTAATTGTTAAGGTTCATTGACTTGGTTGATGCATGTCATCGTAACGTTACTCATATCTTTGATAATTAGAAAATGACGTTACGGCTCTGAAAATGTACAACATTTCAAACACGGCTCAAATGTCATTTCGGTTGAGTTTCATTGCTTTCCCCAGTCTACATTTAAATAAAAAAAAAAATTCACACAAATTACCCAGCCACATATTACATTTTACAAACTATTGTAGGAATCATTGTTGGATGAATAGACATTTTCAGTTTTCAATTACACACAAAAACGAACACGGAT